GAGAACAAAGGAAATGCAAAAAATGAAAAGAAAATTCAACTCTGAATATAAAACCCTCCTGTTAATCTGGTTACTCAGACAACCAAGAACTGTAAAATTATACTAATTCAAGAGCAGGACTGAAAATACACTGTACCTTTTCTCCTTTCATGCTTAAAAAACTCTATCAAAAAGCTTCCATTTCTGTCACTTTTCCCAAGTTTTCTAGGCAACCAAACAAAGCATTACATAAACAAATTTTCAAGAAAAATATCAGATTAATTAACAGAAATGGAAGAAGCTTACTGAGCCGTAGACACTAAAAATCGTGGTTTTAAGTTCTTCCAAGGCTACAGAAATCTGCGCCCCAATTCTGCAGGACCAAATTGAAGTAGCAGAACCGCAGCTTCCGTTTGAGAAAAACCCAGATCTGGGTTTGAGAGAAGAAGAAGACCGACGGCAATAGTAACAGAAGGTTTGGCGTGAACAATGACGAGCTTAAACAAGGCACTATCACCTAGAGATACGAAGAAGTGATCGAGTGTCCACTCCTGCGCGTAGGCGCTGTGCTGGTTGTCGTCGACGGCGACGATCATCACTTGCTTCTCCGTCGTTTGAGAAAACCCAAAGCCTGGGTTTGCAAAGGTATCAAGCATCCACTCCAGTGCGTAGGCACTATGCTCCTTGTCGTCGACAACAACGATCATCACTTGCTTCTTCGTCGTTTGAGAAAACCCAGAGCTTGGGTTTGCAAAGGTAAGGGAAAAGGAAAGGTAAAAGAGAGAGAAAATGAAAAAGGAAGAAGAAATATGACGTGGGTGAAAATTAGAGGGTCCATGACAAGTAAAAAGGAATAAAGGGTGACACGGTGTGTGAAAAAGAGTGAGATTTGTACACATCAGCATCCAGCGCGTGAAAAAATGACACGCTGGCACGAGGTAACGGAGATCGTGACGGTGATGACATCACCCGTTAGATAATGATCGATTTGACCAAATCGATACTTTGGGGGTGTCATTTGTCCCTGCTTTTTTTTGAGGGGTGGATCCGTCCCTACCCATATTTGTCAGGGGCTAATTTGAGGGTTCTGCCTCTTTTTAGTGGGACTCACATGACATTTTTTAAATGACGTGTAAGTCAAAATACTTTTTATTTATAATTTGACACTTTTTATTATAATTTGACATTTTTTATTCTTATTTCATAATTTTTCAACCTTAAAAAAAAAATACTTCATCTTCTTCCTCCTTTCCTCTCTCTCAATCCTTCGAACCCACCCCTTCTTCTCCCTTATTCTTCCTCTCCAGATTTGGGTTTTCCCAAACCCACCCCTTTCTCTGTTGCTCGCTTATACGCTAGCCCCGCACACGCCTCATCCATGCCAAACCCTCAAACTCTCACACACAGATATGCTCAACCCTTCTCACACACGTGAAACCCTTGCCTACACGCGCCTTCTCTCTCGTTGACCTGACCCGACCCGACGTCGCCTGAAAGTCCTTAACCTCGCCTTCTCCTCTTACCATATCAGATGATGCCAGAGAGATACTCCGGTCGCCAGGAAGATGGATCTGTTTGTTTGAAGGGGTTTGTTGAGGACGAGCAGGTAGAAATTTAAGCCAAGTTGGAGAATTGGAGGCATTTTTAAGTGTTGTTTTTTGCTAGGATTTTGAAGTTTGAGATTCAGGAGAGAAACTGGGTCTCTGTTTCAAAGGTAAAAAAGCGAACATTTTTATGAAATAAAAGTAAGTTTTTCTTAGAAATTTTTGTTTTCTTAAACAATTCACCTACTGTTTGGCCAAATTTAGCCGAAGGTTTGAGGAAAACCTTTTGTATTTATGTCCATATCTACTAGATGCTGAAGTTTCGTCTATTAATTTGGTAAAGGAAGGTGTAGTTGTTGTTGAAGCTGGGTTGAGAGAACCCAGATCCGGAGAGGAAGAAGAAGAGAGAAGAGAGAGGGAAAGAATAAGAAGAAGAAAGAAGAAGGATGAGTAGGGAAAGGAAGGAGGAAGGAGGAAGGAGGAAGGAGGAAGGCTGATAGAGAAATGAGGAGGCCAACTGTTCAAAGGACTAAGAGACAGAGGAAAAGAGGAAGAAGGTGAAGGTTTTTTTTTTTAAGGTTGAAAAATTGTGAAATAAGAATAAAAAATGTCAAATTATAAATAAAAAATATTTTAACTTACACGTCATATAAAAAATGCCATGGGGTAAGTTAACAAAATGTCATGTGGGCCCCACTAAAAAGAAAACTGCGGTGATCACAATCTGACGTGTAAAAAAAATACCATGTGACAAGATTTTTTTTGCTGGATTTACACGTCATTAAGATTCAAAAAGCCCAGTGATTTTGTGGCATCTTAACGTGTCATTTGTGCACTTAACTGACGGAAGGATAATTTTGGTACCAAAAATGAAAGTTTAAGAATAATTTTGATACTTTTTAAAGTTGAAGGACAATTTTAGTATCAAAGTGGAAACTTGAGGGACTAAAATGGTACTTTAACCTAACTCTTATTGTTATATATATATATATGTACACACACGTATGTATATCTTTTTGACCCCAATTTATCTCATCTCTTTGGAAAGCCCATATTAGAAAGGTCTTAACTAAAAACATCAAAAATATAACTCATTACTTCATTAGAATTATTCTCTTAATACTTAGTTTTTCACTTATATATACTCTACCTCTAAGTTTTCTTCTTCTTCTTCTTTTTTTTTTTGGTACGATGTTCCTTAGTGATGCTGGCGTTGTGTGAGCTTGGGTTGACTTCATAATTTTAGACATTAGTACTACAACAAAAGGAGGGTAAAAGTGATATTTTTATCCTCTATTTTTTTTTACACAATTTTCAACCCGTTAACATTTTTTTCACACTTTTTGATTTTGGTTTGATTTTTTTCACACTTTTTGAAAGAAAAATGTTCTCTCAACTTTCTCGACATAAGACCTACTTGAAAACTTTTATACAAACTTTTCATATACCAATTTCTTACCATATATATATATATAAAGTTAATAACTCAACAAAATTCCAACAAAACTTCACTACAAAATTTATCAACTTTCCATACAATATTTATTAACCTTCCATATGATACTTTCTTAACTACTTTCCTAGTAAAAACTTTCTTAGTAAAATTGGTTTTCTAACCAAACAAGCCCTTACAAAAAAACTGAAAGATAAAGAGAGACTTTTATGATAAAATAATTAATTAAAGTAAATGGATAATTATAAAGCTAGAGTAGAAAAAAATTGTTATGAAAAAAGGACAATTAATATTGAATAATTTAAAGTTAAAAAATAACAATTATTTTAAGATGAAAATAACAATGTTGAGGGTCATTTTTGTCAAAAGATAATTTTGGCCCATGTTATTGTCCATGTCGATGTGCCAAGTCTAATTTATGGTCAAAAAGTGGATACATGTCATTTTTGTTTTGCCATCTCCTACCAAAGGTCCATCTAACAATAAATGTTTGCGCTATCAAGGCTCGTTAGACTTGCTTGTAATACACTTTGGTGGTAATTTGCTGACGGTTAACAACCACATAAAATTTCAAAAATATTTATATATATGAAAATATAAATATAATGAAAAATTAGGTGTAAAAACAAAAAATAAAGGAGTGATAATTTATCTAAATTATAAGATGGGATAACTCATCTAAAATATGATATACACAAAGATTGGGGTCTAGGAGCACTACAAGAATACACAGAATTACCGATGAAATATCATGTCAGAAATCAAGAGGGATCTTGTCGGTAAATAAACTTTCCAACTTATACTTTGTCAGTAATATACTTGTCGGTGTTGGCTTCCTCGGTAATTACTTCACCAATGTGGGATGGAGTTACGTCGGTAATTTGGTCCAAATTACCGACAAAACACATGTCTCAAATTAACTACCAGAACCGTACTACCGGAGTTTTCACGTAAATCATGGTGTCAATTACCGACAAGCTTCACGTCTCTAGCTGTAGACCTTGTTTACTGCGTCCTTGTGTTACCTCGTTTATTGCATCCGGTCAACTCATGTCAGTAAATTACCGACAAAGAATTAATCGGAAAGTTGATTTAGAAATTTGTAAAACAATTGCCGATTTACAAGAATTAATTGGTTATATATGATTTACCGACAAAGTTCCAATCGGCAATTACCAAGAAGAAAAAAAAAATTGGCATTTTACCGACAAAGCTCCAATCGGTAATGTGGTTTAGGAATTGAAAAAAAGAGAAATTTACACCATTCCCCTTTCTGCAATCGAGAAAGAAATAAATTAGTATATAATTTAGTTAAAACCAAAAAACTGTTAATATAAAATAATAGTATTACCAGCCATCCAACACATAAGCAATAAAAAATATATACACATTCAATAATGAATGTCCTCCAAACCAAAAAGATTATGGGATGATCAATCTTAATTTATAATGGTTAATATTATAAAAAATAAATATAAATTTAAA